AAAATCTCAGCAGCACCAGCAGCACGGAGGAAAAGGCAGTAAAGACCATGCTCTGGGGCTGCGAGCTCAGTCAGGAGAGGCGGACTTGCACCTTCAGACCCCAGCCAGAGGGGAAGCAGGGCTGCAGGCTGTTGCTTCATATGATTTTCTTAGGGGAGAAAACCAAAGAGGAGATGCATTGCGTGGAGATCCTGCCTCCAGGAAACCGGGAGGACAAGAAGACGCAGCTGGTCACCATTGCCTCGCTCCAGGCCTCAGTCCTCCCCAAGGTCACCGTGGTTGGAGTACAGCTTTCTCCCCCAGTTACTTTCCAGCTCCGGGCTGGCTCAGGACCTGTGTTCCTCAGTGGCCAGGAGCGTTATGAAACCTGGGAGGAGGAGGAGGAAGAAGAAGGGGAAGAGGAAGAAGAGGAAGAGGAGGAGGAAGATGATGAGGGTGAGGATGTAGATATATCTCTGGAGGAGAAATCCCCTGTCAAACAAGGCAAAAGGCTGGTGCCCCAGAAGCAGACGAGCATGGCTAAGAAAAAAAAGCTGGAAAAGAACAAGAGGAAGTAAGACCCAGCATTAGAGACAAGAGCCCTGAGAAGAAGGCCAAAGCCACACCCAGATCCAAAAAGCCAGGATTCAAGAAATGAGGAGCTACGCTTTGGGGGCCACGATGCAGAGTGGGCCTTCCCTGACCTGTGCTGCAGGGACACGTCACCCCTGCCCCACCCCTGCATTTGTCTGAATATGACAGGGGTGTTGTGGGGGCAACACGAGAGCCCCTCACCCCCACTCTCCACTTTCAGGAGGCCTCGAGTGCAGACCCCCACCTCGGGTCACAATAAAATTGTCTGGTCGGGAAAAAAAAATTATGACTTTTTATACAAATTTGTATAGACTATAAATATATTTATATTCTATTTATATATTATAAAATATAATTTTATTTTCTCCATTTTTTTCACATTTTAAATAAAATTATTTAATGAAAAGCAGAGCCTAGTGACTGGGAGAAAATTTGAGCCATTAACTGATAAAGAAAACTAAAATTCAGACCAAAGTTTCTGTAGGAGGCAGAAGGAAATAATATAGAACCCTTGGCATCAAACAGACCTGGAATCAAATCCTGACTCTGCTGTTTCTCACTGTGCAACCTTCAGCCAGTAACAACTCTGAACCTGAGCTTCCACCTCTGCAGAATGAGGATCATTACTCTCGCCTCCCAGGATGCTGGGAGGATCAAACAAGATTCCAGATATCGGCTATGAAGTGCCCAGCCCAGTGCCCAATGCATGGTTGGTGTTCAACAAACATCAATCCCCGCCCTTTCCCTTCCAGGGTGCTTTTTTTTAGCAGGGATCATAAAAATGTTTGGAAATTGCTAAAAATCCATGTTGTCATGTCTGGAATTCACAAACTTCT